TTCTATACATTACATTGTTATGTTGTGAGCAAGAATTTACGCTATGTGACCGTCAAATTGAAACAAGAAGATAACCTTAGTTTTTCGAAAAGAAAAATGCCCAAAACTGAACTCTGTCATTCAGACCTTCTGCCATCAGCTGACTCTTATTGTTACTTGTTACATTAGTTCTGTAACAAAGACTTTTGTAAACGTAATTTGTCCATTGACCCTTGAACTCATTATAAATTAAATCTAAATAGAAATTCTTGACAAAATTCCAAATTTCTTTACACTGCCATCATTAATAAATGCACTTTTATGCAGTACTGTTGTTAGAATATATTGAAATATTAATGGTATGTACTAAAATATTTTTCTAAATTAGTCGAAATTTGTCAAGCTGTTGTAAACAAATCCAGTTAAAGCTGTAATTGATTTTGCTTAGTTTAGGCTTGCGAGAATTCTGATAAATCAAACTATCATTTTCTTTAATTTTCTTTAATAAGCTGATTGTTTTCATTACAAGTAAAATATCAGCTGACCTTTCGGAATATCTGATGATAATTTTGTACGCTGCGATAAAAAAAAAACAATACGCTTTTAGGACATGACATTGCATTTCTGTATTCGTCCGCACTACATCCTCAGGAAAGTTCGCCACCATGTGGTTATGTTGATAACCTAAATCAAATTCTGACGTCAATACAGTCTCCAAAATAGCTGTATCAAAGAGCACAGTTTATAAATCTCATTCTCTCTTCATCAAAATATCTCAGCTGCTACGATACGGGAAAAAGTTTTTGTTATAGGTTGGCTTGATTCCGGTAAAAACGAGAAAAGGGGTCATTCCAGTCACGATCTCTTAGTGCCCAACTTCTAAACCAGCTTTCACACGCTAGCCCCGGCGTGTTTGTCCCGTACGCTGCATGGAGCAAATGTTATGTTCATGCACCTTTAGACATATACAAAAATCAGCATACACTTATTCCCCTCCAATGTACCCTCCTGTATGTCGTCATGGGCGATCGATGGCCGCAACTTTTCTACGTGATGACAATCGCATTCAGATGGTCCTGGACTTTTTAAAAGATTGTTTTATATCAAAACATTTGACTTTGTATTATAATGATGTTACTTTTTTGCATTATCTTTGTTTCATCAGCTTTGTTCAATATACCTAAATTTACTTAGCACAATATTGTCAGGATTGTGATGATGTGCCGATTAAACAAAATGATGTATATGCAAAAAAAAAAAAAACAAACAAAACGATCGCTCCGGTAGCCTAAGTGGTTAGAACGACCGCCTTGGAGGCAGGAGATCACGGGTTTGAACCCCAGCCGAGTCATGCCAACAACATAAATGGTACTAACAGCTGCCTCTCTAGGCAGCTGTTAGTACCATCAGAGGTCTGTGTTAGGACTGGTCCACCTAAAGTCAGGATATTGTAACTGGGTGTGACATGTTGCAGCATTTCTGCAGCACGATGGCCCAGCTAGACGTCACTATGAACTGCCACACTGCAGCCATCATAGCGATATAAATTTTAAAAAAATTGTTAAAGCTACATTAAAAATACAAATCACACAAATTAAAAAAGAATGAACTTTAATGTATTATACTATTTTTTTCGCAAAGAAACAATAGAGCATATTAACACAGTGAACCAATATATCATTATTACCGAACGTTTGAGGACGGCATGTGATCACTTGATATAACCTGTCTGTCTGTGCAGTCATATCTTAGCTCCTTCTGAATGGAGAGCATGGTTTCGTAAATTAGAGTAACGTTTTTGTATGAGCCAAAGACAAAATGACTTATTTACAATTCCCTGTGCTTTCCAGGATTCTTCCTTCAGCAATTATAATGGCCGCCATATATAGCCTATCTTGTGCTGAAAAAATGGCGTTAAGCACTAGAACTAAATATAAAGTTATATTAACTACTGCTAGACGTCAAGCAACAGTCATGGTCGGGTTTGATAGCAGCTGCAGACTGGTTTTCACATGTTGATAGGAGATGGGAGATGAGATCAATACACTATTCGCTAGCCAAGGTTCCGATATGTTAACCCTATCTACGCCCAGGAGGATCGAGCAGATATTTTAGTGCTTTATTCTAGCGACATATATTGGATTTCATGAGTTGCCTTATTTTGTACGTAATGCAATGTAACCAGTATTATGTAACAGCAGTGTATTGTACAACGGCCGAAAATGGTGGAGGCAGTTGTCTTCAGAAGGATACTTTGTAAGTTTAACATCGAAAGTATGACTACGTACCAGAGAAAGGCCATTTCAGGTGTAATTGAGCGAGAGGTATCGTACATCCACTGACCGGCAGTGGAAAAGTTATTATTTATTAGTCTATTCATGATGTGTTCTCCACTTTCCTTGATCATGTAGGAACGTTTTGAAATTTTGAACAAACTAATTTTGATTGGATGCGTGGCTTGCCAAGGATCCAGTGAAATGTAGAGATTTGAAGCACAAATATATATTCTCGTTCCACCAAGATGCAGATAGGATTAACCTTGGCTAGCAAAGATAACCAGTATATGGCGCTGAATCAATCCATCTGGCTCATTTCCGCTTCTTAAGGACTGTTTGTTGTTGTTGTTTGTTGAATCGGTATAGGTTCTCTATATGAATCGAGAAAAAATCTTTTAAAAAAGCAAATATTTCTATTATGCAAAAGATATATTACTGCTGATCTTCGAGTGGAATATATATTAAGCCGTACTTAACTCGAGCAGTAAAATGATCTTTGCATTCATCAGACGTGCAGATGTGTATACACTTAGTGCATTTCCGCCAATATCAAGCACGCAAGCAGAGACACACACATACAGTTTTCTTCGGTGTGTCGAATCGCAATGTGACAGCGGTCAAGGCACTGTGCTCGTCATCTGAGGGTTAGGGGTTCTATAATCCAATATCTGCTCATCCTGAGTCGTCTGCTGTATTGTGTTCTTGTTCAAGGAATTTACTCTGTTCAGTTCTGCATGGTATAAAATTGAAAAGTATTGATGTGCCGTAAAACACCAGAGTAAATTTCGACGAAGTGGAATAGGCCCCAATGAATATATTTTTCAAAGCATTTCGTAAGCCTCGTTTTCATCATAAAAAACATGTTCGAAGATGTTTAATACATTTACATGCAGTTGAAGCTCACCCGTAAAATACGAAAATACTGAGTCCAGTTTGCCAAATCAGGCGAGGGGAGCAAGGCATATCACAAGGACATCATTCCCAATGGGCCTTGGTTTTTACCAGTTATAGATCTCTTACATACTTTTCTTGTGCACTTAGTTGTCTTTTAAACCATTATATAGTGACTTTTGTAAGCTTGTTTTGATATTTGATTTATTTCCAAATTTCAATTCAACCAGGGCATAGGGGCCTCAAACTCTCGAAGTTGCCAGGGTATTGACGGAGGCGTGGGAATAGATAGTGTCATATTTCCTTGTTACAAAGACTCGTCCGAGGACAAAATTTACAACCCAAAAAGATACAAAAACGTGAGCGAAAAAGAACAAGCAACCAATAAAACTTACCCAACATCCACCACCAGAGGCCACCATCCAACCCCTTCACAAAGAAACAAGCAAACAAAAATATAAGAAAATTAACAAAAAAATATTTATTACAAACACATAATCTGAATTGATTAAATAGATGCTAAGTAAATAATAATACTTTGTACTGTGCCCATTCGGTGGTCAGAATTTCATTAAGCTGATGTAAAAAGGCTAACATCTCTTTTATCAATATGCGTGATGGCATAATCACTCATGTTACTATATTAATCAATACTTTCTTCGTGATGGCACACTCACTCATGTTACTATATCAATCAATACTTACTTCGTCATGGCACACTCACTCATGTTACTATATCAATCAATACTTACTTCGTGATGGCACACTCACTCACGTTACTATATTAATCAATACTTACTTCGTGATGGCACACTCACTCATGTTACTATATCAATCAATACTTACTTCGTCATGGCACACTCACTCATGTTACTATATCAATCAATACCTACTTCGTCATGGCACACTCACTCATGTTACTATATTAATCAATACTTACTTCGTGATGGCACACTCACTCACGTTACTATATGAATCAATACTTACTTCGTGATGGCACAATCACTCATGTTACTATATCAATCAATACTTCGTGACGGCATACTCACTCGTGTTACTATATTATTCAATACTTCGTGATGGCATACTCACTCATGTTACTATATTAATGAGCATTGGTGATACCAATTTTTTTCATTGCATAGTATTAATATTGCCTTAATTCTTCTGGAACAGTCAACCGTTTCAATTTAAAGAGCTTATCACCACAACCACAAAAACAAATAATATTAAAATTTCTTTCTTGTTTCAGACGCCCCAAAATGCTTGCCAAAATTCAACAAATATAAAAAATATAAATAAAAATGTTCTTTCTACTACTACTACTACTACTACTACTACTACTACTACTACTACTACTACTACTACTACTACTACTACTACTGGGGCCCGAGTGGCCTAGTGGTCTAAAGCGAGGTCCGTTACGGATCACTGCCATCTCACCGCTGTTTGCGTGGGTTCGAGTCTAGGATTCGGCGAATATGGATATGTGAGAAAGCTTGCCAGTAGCTTCTCGTGGGTCGGTGGTTCTTTCCGGTAATTTCCCGGTTTCTTCCTCCACCATTAATATTGGCCGCCATGAATAGCCTATCGTGTGCTGAAAAATGGCGTTAAGCCCAACAACAACAACAACAACAACAACAACTACTACTACTACTACCACAACCACGACACACATATACACGCGCGCGCGCGCACGCCTTCCCCGTCTAAGTACATGGATAAAAGCTATTTAAATATGGCAATGTGCAGTTATTTGACTTGTGGGCCATATGAAGTAGTTTAATGATGATATGTTGCTAACGGGGTTGATATCTCCGAGTTCAAATTACCATATATATTAAAAATCACTGT